GTAGCTCCTTTAATTAAAGATAATGTATTACTTAAATAAAAAAGTATTCAAAAACTTGTACAGGATACCTCTAATTGCAAGGCCTTGTACTGGGTTTAGGTATTAAAAATGACCAAGAACCTCTTGTAGCCCATGCCTTTGAAGAGATAGAACCCTTTGACGGAAATAGACACATAAGCAGAGAACTGATAAGGAAGACCCCCAGTAATGATCACACTAATCATTCCTTCCCCTTGGAATTATTATCTGAAGTACAGAATTCATTATCTGAAAATAGTAAATGCCATTTAAAGCCTCTTAAATTGTACTTCTCTTGAAGCAAATTTCTGTTGTGCACTTCACCCCAAAGAGAATCCTCTGGTTTTAACCACATTTTTAAAACAGAGAAACAGTGCTTTGTTTTTCTCCCAGTGTTATTGAGATACAATTGACACATAACATTATATAAGTTTAAGGTATAAAACATGTTGAAAGGAATATTGTCTTTGTAAAACACATAGCACCACTAGGTAATATAATAATGCTAAACCAGACTTTTGTTATATCTAGCTGTTATTTTTCAGGATCATATATCTATGGTAGAAATAAATCTGTGGAACAAAGAACAATGTTATAGTGGTACTTTGCTCTATTGAATGGAAGTCCAATTGTTTTTCCTTTGACTCCCATATTTTTTTCTACCTGTCCTATTCTCTTTCTTATTTCTTTAAATAAAACACTTCATTTTAGATGTTTTTATCCTTTACTTATATGAGGTCTGTCCAGCGGAGTATCCAATCACGTAATATGAAAAATAGAGACATTTATTGAAGAAGATAGAAAATACAAGAAACATTGTACATAAGACAATGATGCCTCAGTCCCCTTCAAAGTAGGCACCTTGGGACCTCATAGAGTTCTCCCAGTCACCATCAATTGCTCTGTCATATTTTCCTGAATCTCATCAAGGGTCTGAAATCTCTTCCCTTTCAAAGGTGATTCTAGTTTTAGCAAAAGCCAGAGGTCGCAGGACACCAAATCTGGGCTGTAGAGGGGCTGAGTAACATGGGTGATTTGACATTTCACCAAATAACTCTGCATGAGACATGATGTATGAGAGCTGGCATGTTGTCATGATGAAGCTGCCAATCACCAGTTGCCCACAGCTCTGGACTTCTCAATCATCTGAATAGTTTCTGCAGAGGTATGTTCAAGCTTAATGCAAAATTTGATGCAGATTTGTTGCTCTATTCACTTGGTCATTTTGAATGCCTCAGCCACACAATCCACATGCTCTCTCAGTGGTGTCTACTGCCCCCACTGACTAGCACAGTGAAGTCGTCATTGTTCGGGCATGCACATTTCAGTCCACTCTCTGTGGCTGACAGGTTATATCAATGTCATGAAAACCGTTCTTGTTATCTTAACAATGGCTAGACTTTTCCAGACAGACCTCCTATGGTCCCATTACTTTCTTATATTTTCCGAAGAAATGTTAAATCTGAGATTCAATAACTTAAACGTTTGACAATTCTAAAGTTAAAATATGTTAGGTTATTTAGCAAATATACACAGTGCTTTATATTTAAAAGGTATTCTTTATCCTTGCGAACAAGTTTAACTTTGTCTACCAGAAAACCAATAAACAACCAAAAAGATTAATTTTGAGGGGCCTGGTTTTAATGGTGAGAGACAGCACATACAATTAAAAATGTGGATTGCAAGGCTGAGGTTATGTTGCCTTTCATTCTGCAGCAATGGAGACTGAACTAGTGAAAAAAGGGCAATCAGGTTGAAAATCCCTATTTTGTTTTCGATGATCTGTTCTCTGTTTCCTTGGAAACAGAGCTGGCAGCCACAGGGTTGCTGGCATGATGTTTTCTTTTTCTTTTTTTTTTCTTTAGCTTTGAAGCATCAAAGAAAAGGTGAGGTTTTATGACTATAATCTGTAGACTCTTATTTTCAAATAAATTAAAAAAACAAATAGTTATGAATGCTTATTACATGTAAGGCAGTAGGTGGTAGGTAAAACCAACAAGCACGAGAAAGGGTTTTGAGCCAATTGATTGAAATAAGTTTTCAAGAGTCAATCTATTATATACTTGTTTTTTAAGGAAAACAGTAAGTTTTATTCTAAAAGCTATACTGTGAGGGTAGTTCACTGTGACCAATATAATTTAGTGAAATTAATTTTAGAAAACAACTAGATTAACACACCAGACAGACAATTCCTTCTTTCTCTGTACAAAACCCAGGTAATATGAGGGTGGCTACTGTGTGTGGAAAAGACAGTCTTTACCTCCAGTAAATAAAGCAAGCAAACAAAAACTAAATGGAGCTTAAACAAACCTAATAGGTTTTCCGAAAAACTGTTATATAATGAAGTTACTACATATTTTGGTTGAAGTGTGGTTGTCAAATGATTATATGGTCTTTTCCTTTCTGAAAGGTTGCATTAATTTAAGTTTAAAAACCCTGGGCTCCCACTTTAGGAGCCCTGGGCTCCTAAAACCCAGGGCTCCACTTTAGGAGCCCTGACTGAGATGAGAAGGCAAGAACTACAGGTGACAGTTGCAGGAAGGATTTTTCTTTTTTAAAATTAATAAGGCCTAAGAGTGTTTATATGCTTCAGGTGATGGAGGATAGAATAAGGAGGACTGGCAGAGACTTTAACTTGATAGAACTAGTTTTGTAGAGAGATGAGGGGATGGGCACTAAAGCATAACCAGAGGGATTTGCTTTTGATGTCCTCTAAGGACAGCAGATCACATAATAGTGCCAGGCATCGTTCTAAGCATGTTAGATGTACTAACTGAATAACTTGGGAATTAAGAGTTGAAGGAATGTGCACCTGAAAATAAAAATTATCTCTGTGGATGTGAATATGAAGATAGAGGTATATACTAATAATCTGCTAAAAAAAGAGATGGTTTAGGGAGCTTAAAAACAGGTGGTTTGAAGGACAGAAAGTCGATCAGAAACATACATGTATTTCTGAACAGTAATTCAAATAATTTTGTCATTTTCTCCAGCAGAGCTTAGATACACTAGTGTCAGAGCTCAGGGGCAGACTATATTTACCTGAAGTTGGAAGCCTGTAAGCAGAGTGGGATTGAAAGGGAGTTCAGGAAGTTGACAGCACTAGCAGAGTATCTGTTAGGTAGTATCTGTAGGGTTAGTTTACATATGAAAGGAAGTGAAGCTAGGAGGGGGATAATGATGGATGGGGGGTGGAGAGGGGAGTTAAAAAGTAGGAACACAAAAATTACAAACAGGAAGAATCCATCGAATTCTATCCTGCTCCTTTCTGAGTGGACAATAAACACAGTAGGATGCCACACTCATGAAAGCCACGAGAGAAGGGCAAACTCTGTCATCTTCAAGTCAGGGTTTTCTCCATGTAGCAGAGTCCTCAGGCGGGCTATATCCTTGTTCCCCAAAGCTTAGTCCATTGACCAGCATCACTGACATCACTCAGGAGCTTGTTAGAAATGCAAGATCTTGGTTCCCACTCCCTAACTACTAAATCAGAATCTGCTCTTAAACAGAATCTCCAAGCGACTCATATGCACATTACATTTAAGAAGCACTGGTAAGAGAGAATGCAGATTCACCCTTTATTCTGTGCTGGCCATGATATGCTAGGAGAGACAAGGAGCAGACGTTCTGTCTGTGATGGTTAAACTCCCAGGCTCTGTATACAGTATTCCTTTTTTTAATGTATAACTTAAATCGTTCCCCAAATGATTTGTCATCCATGGTACTAACTCCTCCCAAATCCCACCCCACATCCCAGGTGCTCTCACACCTCAGTATCAGGATGTTAAGATAAACTATTAGTTTCCTTTTAGTTTTAAAATTCTTTGTAGCATAGCCAAACTTCCTCTGCACAGAACGCCCCCGCCCCCCCGAAAATCAGCCCGCGTGAAATACAATCAGTGCCAAAAACAATTCTATGGAGAATTTTGCAGTTGCGCGCGCGCGCACACCCACCCGCTCTCGGGTCAGTTTTAAAGTGTGACATTTTTTCTCATAACATCCCGGTGTTTGATGACCCTATACATGATTATGGGTAGTCTCTGAGATGCTTTTACCCTCTCCTTTGTGCAAAACCAAACCGAATTTTTTCAAGATGAATTAAGTCACTTGAGAGTCTGAGTACAAGCTTGAGCTAAATTGCTTCGCTACGTTAATGTTGGAACCAATTTCCCAAGAGGTGGAGGCTCTGGGGAGCAAGGCAGTCAGCGTCAAACTGATTACGCAGGTACTTGCTGGAGGCGTCAGTATTAGTGGAAGTTTTGGGGACATTTTTAAAAAACTAACGACGGTTTTTGTGATCCAGGCTTTCATCTCATTCCAAGAACAGAATCTTGTGGACCTGCCGGTGGCTTTTTATGAGCCGGTGCTTTTATGCGCTATTACCCACTGGGCCGACGTGACGGTCAAAGGCGTGGGGGAAACCATTTGTTCCCCGCTTCAGCTCTCTGGTCCTATGAGCTGGGAACGTGCTGTTACTGCTGGGAGAACCGAATTGCAGAGGCCCGAGCCATTTCAAAATTGAACGGGAAGGGAGAGGTGTTGCGACAGGGCGCCTCTTCTGTCCCCTCTCCCCTGCCCGGGTCAGCTCACTATCAGCAATCGCCTGCGCCTCTCCAAGTTAACCCACCCGACACCCACTCCTAACCCTTCCCCCTCTTCGCCTCCAGGGCTCCGGCGCTCCGCCCATTCCCCTCCAGTTCCTCGTCCCCCCTTCCCTTGCTCGTCTCCCCTCCCCCTTTTTTCCCTCCAGCCTGCCTCGCATTGCCCTTCCCTGACTCCTTCATCCTTTTTCCTCTCCTCGCTCCTCCCTTTTTCCCCATCACCCCGCATCTTAGCCCCACCCGCTTTCCGCTTTTTCCCTCTCGGCTCAGATTTGCAGTCCAGCTGCAATCACCACCTCCGCTCTCCCAGGGAGAGGCCAGGCGGAAGGCGCAGCGGGCTGGCTGCGCGCAGGCGCACTGTGCTGCGGGAGCGCCGACGAGCCGAGCTTCGGCGCAAGCGCGCGCTGCCCCGGCTCTGCTCCGGCTCGGCTCCGGCGCGGGCAGCCTGGAGCCCTCGGCTCGCTCAGTTAGTGCTTGGGGTCTCGCGGCGGCGGCGGCACGATGTTTCTTCACTCTGTCAACTTCTGCAACCTGGCGTTTTATGCCTTCATGATCTTCATGGCCACCCTCGGGCTGTGGGACGTCTTTTTCGGCTTCGAGGAGAACAAGTGCAGTATGAGCTACATGTTTGAGTACCCGGAGTATCAGGTGAGGTTCCGCCCTCTCACCTGGGCGCTCCGAAATTCAGGCCCTTCCGACTTGGACCTTCTATGGGTTTCCTCTGACTTGTTTTCTCGCGCCTCTCAGACCTCTTTATCCCAACCTCGTCTCTGTGTCTTTCCGCCCTGGAAGATTGCAGGACCCCATTATTCCCCTCACCTGCTCTTTGTGTCCTTTCTTGACGGTGGGGTGTTTCTTGGGTGCTTTCCTGAGCATCCTTCTGTCCCCACTCGCACTTGTTCCCCTGCCCCTCTGCCGGATTCCAAATGTTATTCACAGGCTTTTCAGACTGGTCGCGCCCAACCCCCTTTATCCCCAGAAACGCAGTCTCTGCCCTTCTCCCTAAATCCAAACCCCGTCTTCTCCGCATTCCTACCTTAACAGGTGCCCCTGGATCCTCCTTTGCTTCCCACACATCTAAATTCCCCTCTCGCCCAGTGATGTACATGTCAGTCCTTGCTTTTCTAGAAAGGGACCGAGCTTCAACAGAGTGTATTGTTGGCTGGGTAGTTTCCAGGGCTGCCTTAGAGACTCCAGGGTTTTACTTCTGTGTGAAGGGCTAACCCGGTGAGTAATTAAATGGAAAACTATTGAGGTTCCCTCCTGTAAAGATTTTGCGGAGTCTCCTGTTTTGTAGGACCTTTCACAGGTCCTTGCGTGTGCCAGCACTCCTGTGTTTGTGCATGTCGCCTCTTACCAACTACGTCCAAAATCTATTTTATGGGGTTAGTTTTATTTTTCTCTCTAAATTTGCTGTTTGAGACCCAGCTCTTCTCTCTCCCTCCGCACCCACCTCTTACGTTTCATTTTGAACATTTTCAATCACAATTGTTTCATCAGTTCAGCATAAAAGAATCTAGAATTTCATTCATAACCAGCTGTAAAAAGAGGTGGTGACACATCACACAACTGTCTGAAGATATTTCTCCCGAATGGTTTTTTTATTTCTAAGCGTATCTCTTAATTACAAAATACATATTATAATAGCCTCCTGCCATAAGATGTAAATGCACTATATACATATACATCTAATACATATGTATTATACGTACATATACATCTATGTATAATACCTAGTGATAAAATGTATTTGTAGTATACTTTTAAAACGATAGCAGATTTTTTCTTTAAGATGAAGAATGCCGATCGTGATTGTTTCTGGGTACAGGTCATTATGGAGGAGCATGTTTGATTATGCCGCTATTTAGATATCAAAACTACTTAAGGTTTAAATTGCTGATGAGCTTCCTTTCCCATGGTCAAAATTCTAGTTTAGATTTTATTTGTTTTGAAATTCTTACCTTCATTTTGCATCAGTGCTTGTAAGGGGGTTGAAGCATTTGATACCAAATTCTGTAGAAGGAGAAGATTTTAATGTTACTATTGTCTCTTACTTTCTAAGCAAATATGCTGGTTTATTTTTATCAGAGTCTATGTATAGTTAAATATTTGGGCTTCTAGTTTAGATTTCATAAAGCTGAAATAAAGCCCTTATAATCAATCACTTATGATTTTTATATGATTTAATAATTAGGAAACTCCGAATGGATTGAAGTCACTTTAGTTTTGTACTGCATTGAAAGAGTTTGGTTAAAATACAATTATTTTGTAACAGTGTACTAATTCCCATTTATTTTTAGATTCCCCACAATTACTGAAGCTATTTTAATATTTGCAGTGGTAGAAATTGCTCAGTGTTGAACAAAGCATATGGACCTCCCAGATGCATTTCGTGCCTCAGAAAATTGACTAGAAAGACACTGAAAATTAGTTGTAGCTACTGCAAAAGAGCCATTTGGCTTTTTTCCTGTTGTTGCCTGTATTTACTTATTTTGATTCAAATCGCCCTTTTGAGGTTTTACACTCTTAATAATTTGTTAGTACAATAATAATTACAGTGGCAGGAGTTTTTGATCCATGTTTTTTGGTAGATTTTTATGATGCAAAAAGCTGTGTTAATTCACTACACTATTTATGTTTGCCCTTTTATTGTACACACTAGGCTGTGTTATTTTACAAATAAGTTAAAACCAACCTACAGAAATGAGTCATTTTGAATGTAGTGAGATTTATGGATAGCTGAGGTCATTCTGTTAAGAACCAGTGGTTTTTAATAAATAAAATGTTCTAAACTTATTTTATCTTGCTTCCTTTTAATTATATCTTATAATAACCTCTCTAATTGTTCACAGATTGTTATTTATTAGATGGATATCCTAATTGTTGGGTTTTCTTCTCTTTTAGAGGAAATGAGCAATATATGAAACATACTCAATTTTATTTTCCATATGAAAAATAAAAGGCAGGATAGGAATTTGAAACTCTTGGTAAAAGATGAAGTTTTGAATTTAAAACTGTTTGATTACCTCGATTCATTCTCTACCTTTGGTTTTCCTAGATTTGCTTATTGAGAGTTAACTGAATGTCTCACCAACCTAACCAGGCAAAATACACATTAGCCTTTAAAGTTTCTCACCTTATGAAAGCAAGGTAGTGCTTTCATACGGTAGCAAACTGTTTTGGGCAAATCATAGAACTGGAGAAGAAACATCTGTGTTGTTTTCTCCATTAGAGTAATTTATTTGCCTGTCTTCAGATGTGTGATCCAACAGTTGCTCTTTGAAAGGAAAGACATTGGAAAATACAAATCACATATATTGTTATTAAGTCTGTTATTTAGCAAATCATTTATTGAGTGATTATGTGTCCAGTATATTTTAGTAACTAATTATGAGTGAGGGAATTTCATATGAATTAGATCTTGTTCCTTTATGTCTTTATAATGGGAGAAAATGAGAATGTAATGGATAGTTAAAATGTGCTGAATGTTATAGTTTCACTATAAGAGTGTGTACAAGGCTCTTCGCAGAAGACAGCATTTAGGTTTGTCTTGGTAGTCAAAGGCCATAGAAAAGAGGTAGTGAATTGAGCCATGGAGCGCAGATACCATAGTTCATAAAGTGCAAAAACAAAAAAATTACAGGAATGAAGACTCATATTTGTGAATGAAGAAGGTACCAGGATACATTGCATAAGCAATATGTATAGTATGTAACCATTTATGTGAAAGGGAGAAAATAACCTATAAACATGTTTTCTTATATGTGCATGTGTAAAATATTTCTTCAAGCACAAACTGCTGGCATTAGTTGCCTTCTGGGTAGGAAACTGGATGGCCAAAAGATCACAGGTGTGACAGAGCCTATTGAGCGTATATCCTATTGAATCTTGAATTTTGAAACATATTAAAAATAAAGTTTAAAACCTGGCATGTGTAAGTTATAAGAAAGTAGGAAGAATAATTAGGGCCAGGTTTTAAAGGACCCCTCTCTCAGCCTTTCTCATCTCTATGTGCAGTGAAGAAAGACATAGGTATATGTTTTAACAAGGTATTTCTGGACAGCAGTAGAGACTGTGCATTGTAGCAGGGAGATTATGACATGGAGAGACACACTAGTTGTCCCTAGGTCTTTTTATCAAGCTGGAGTCCTCCAGAGTGTTCTTAAGTGTGGGGTGGACAAAGGGCTGAGAGCTAGCTCTTTATAAGAGCTTAAAAGCTGCATTCATTTTGATCAGAATCTTTTTGTTTTCCTTTTTTCGGTTGTAATTGCATTTTTAAATCACAATTAAAAGAGATATATCATAAAATAAAGACGTTAGTTTCTTAAATCAGTGTTTTTCTAGCACTTGGGAATTTGTTAGAATGTTTGTCTTTGGAAAAGGATCTAGGTTAGAGATGAGAAGAACCTGTATGAAGGCAGAGTCCAGAGAGGAGGGACAGCAGGGGGCATGATGTGTGGAGATAAGATTTAAGTGTAAAGGTAGTTGATCTTAATTAGATGTTTTTCTTGGGGGTAGGGCTGCTCATTTAATTTTATATATATATTATATATCTGTTTATATCCATTTATATCTATCTCTCTCTATATATATAGATAGATAGATAGATCCATTTAAAATATATTGGATTCCTGTTGCTATATGGGTTTTTGTTTGTTTGTTTTTTTTCAAATCTATTGACCCTCTTCCATTTTCAATCAGCACCCTTTTTGTGTGCCTGTACCTTTTCTGTCCTCCATCTGATCAGTACCCTTCCTGTTTTTTGCTGCCACTCACTCCTGGTGTTGACTCTGCCTGGAAATGCAGTTTTGTTATTCGCCTACAGCTTTCACTTTTTTTTTTTTAATTCCTCCTCCTTTTTTATCTCTACTTTTTGCTTCTCCATATTATATGCATCCATATTTTTAACAGTGTACACTTTCTCACTACAAAATTTCTTTCATAATAGTATATTATGAAATATATCAAATCTATTCTTTTGCTTATTTTTCTGTCTCCAGAGAATTAAATATTTCTTTTTTGAATATTTATAGTTTCTTGTTTTTCTAAGTTAATTTTCAACTAGTTCAAAACTTGGTTTAGCTACTAACCTAAAAAGAATAATGATTTAATATGCATATACAACTATTCTATCAAATGGTTTACTAAATTGGGAGGAGTTCTCTCACTTTTTTTTAAAGATTTTATTTATTTATTTTTAGAGAGGGAAGGGAGGGAGAAAGAGAGAGAGAGAAACATCAATGTGCAGTTGCTGGGGGCCATGGCCTGCAACCCTCGTATGTGGCCTGACTGGGAATTGAACCTGCGACACTTTGGTTTGCAGCCTGCGCTCAATCCACTGAGCTACACCCGCCAGGGCTCGCTCATGTTTTATTTTTGTTTAATTTGTACCTAAAGAAACAAAATATTGTGTCATTTTCATTTTTGATTATATACAGTGCATAATCAATATTGGGACTAATTTAAGGCGCATGTGTGAATATAACGCAAATAGTGGGGTTTGTACTCTATTTTGAATACTTGAGGAGATAAAAAATTGCTAATATCTGACACATTAAGCTCACACTCTAAAGGTGTTTCCATGATGTTATTAGCATGGGTTGTTCATGGTAATATCCTCAAAGGAATGTTCAGGAATATGCATGAATAATCAGAATTCTGATTTTTTACAGTAGTGAGGTTTTTCAGTAGGCATTACCATTTACAGTTTAAAAGTGCATTCAATAGTTGAAATTTTTATTAAGCATATGTGTAGCACTGCTAGATCACTAAATCTATTGATGTCACTTAAAATCTACTGTTCAAAGTAACTGGTTTCATTTTGAATGGTTTCTTTCATTGAAAAAGGAGCAGCAGAAGAGTTTATACTTTACTATTGCTTTTATGGATGCCTACCTTTCGGGGATGGCATTAAGACCTAATTTGTATTTTGTTGGAAAAAATTTATCTGAATTACTGGCTTATTTGGTACACAAAAATATGAATTGCAGAGCAGTTTAAGGCTTGCTGACAAACCATGCACCTGGGTCATGAAAACCGAAACAGATGCTAATTCACTGGAATGTTTATGGTGAGAAGAGTGCATGCGTCATGACCAAGACTTGGCTATAAGTTTCAGATTAATTTGTTAAGCACCTTGTAGGTCAAAGGCATATTAAGTTGAGAGGTCAGAAAGCTGCATTATAAAACAAACTTGCTTTCTGTTGAATGATGTAACCACTGGAATATGTAGTTGGGCCTGAGTAAAAGGAAAGACATTACAAACCAGTTTAAAATAGCAAAAAAGAATTGATTTGATAATGGAAAGCTTTTCATTTCTAAGTATAATTGATACTGATACTAAATTAAATGTATTTTAATCATACTGACAGGTAACTCGCTGACATCTACCAGTGTTTTTCTGTTGTCAGTGGCTATTTTGAGTAATTTATATTTATTAGAATTCCATGTAGTACCATTTTATGCTTTCACAAAGACCACATGGTTCAAAACTCACATAATTTAAGACTGATTCTCCATAGGAATAAAGTAAAAGTAGAACTTGTTTTGTGCATTAAGGGCAGTTTTATTATCAGTAATATTTTTATATTGTACTATTTGTATAATTCAAAATTGGGTATGGTGTGGCTGAATTATATTGGGTAACACTGCATTTTTAATTTTATTTATTTTGCTGCAGAAAATAGAACTTCCAAAGAAGTTGACTAAACGCTATCCTGCGTATGAATTGTATCTTTATGGAGAAGGATCCTATGCTGAAGAACACAAACTTCTCCCTTTAACGGGTATTCCAGTTCTCTTTCTTCCTGGTAATGCTGGAAGTTATAAGCAAGGTAAGTCTCAGAAGTAAGTTTTGAAAGCTATGAAATGCAGTTGAAGAATTTAACAGATACACACTGCTTGTTAAGTACTGTGCTAGGCATACTGGAAACATAAATGTATGACGTTTTGCCTAGAAAAATACATGTGAGAAGTACATGGAAAAGAATATTGAAGATCACTTTGTAAAAAGTAAGAAGGAGAAAAAGAAAATGGAGTGGGTGGGATAAATAGATGATACAGGGATTCAGGAATCAGCAGAAGAAAGAGGCTTCTATTGGAAATGGAGGTTGCAGAGCACAGAACCTGCAGTATTGATTAGAGAAGTAAATCAGTGGTTTTCGGTCTGCTGAACCAGAGAAGAGACTGCTCTCTTTCTTTTGAAGCTATTTTAGTTAGAGAGATCTAGACTTCCAGTCAAAATGGCAGAGTAAATGCTGTGCTTGCCTCCTCCTGTGACCACATCAAAATTACAACTAAATTATAGAACAATACCCTTGAGAACCAACTAGCTGAATAGAACTCCTATAACTAAGCATATAAAGAAGAAGCTCTATTGGGACTGGTAGGAGGGATCTAGATTCAAAACAGACTGGTCGTACACCCATGTGTGGCAGTTAAGAATTGAGAGGGATATCTCAGCTGCAGAGGTTCACGCTGAGGAACAAGGCATCCCAGCCCCACTGCATCTCCCCAGCCCAGGGTACCAGTGCCATAAAGAGGAGTCCCAAAACAGTGGGCTGTGAAAATCAGCAGTGGACTCAGTTCAGGTGAGACAGAAGGTTGTTGTAGGCTCAGATATCCTCTTAAAAGTGCCTGAGCACAAATTCTTTTGCCCTCAAACACTTGCCCTAAGCTCCACAGAAGGAACAGAAGCTCAAAAAGCACCAAAAACACCTGGAAAGGAACTGAATTGTCTGGTTTCAGGGCAAGGGATGGAGCAGCACCTCTCTCCTGGACTCAAGGCAGGGGGACATAAAGGAGGCACCGTTGTTCCTTTGTTGAGCTCTCCATGCACCCAGCCTGCCAGCACTAAGTCGGAGTCTCTATCAACCTGGCTAACAATGCTCCCTGGACATTCTCTGAAATCCCACCTCACCCAATTCACTTGCCCAGACCAACCCTTTCTCAGAGGCTAATCTTCACAAGCAAATGGCCTGGGCCTGCACTGCAGACCTTCCTAAAATCTCAAAGGTCCACAAACCCCATATAACCAGCAGCTGGCTGTAGCATGCCCTGTACCTCTCACTAAGTAGTCCCAGGCATTTGCACTAGTGGCAGCTGTGCTTGGTTCACAGCATAACCCCTCTCTGGCACCTCCAAGCTTGGCACAGGCAGCTACCAACCTCAGATTACTTTGTAGCTCCTACCAGGTGGTCCTGGTCCAGGCATAAGCAGCAGTGGACCTGAGCTGACCTCAGCTGACTGAGGCCACTGAAATCCCTTTCCAGAGGCCTCAGAACCAACACACTTGGTAGCTGGCTTCAGATTACACCAAAGCACCACCCAATTAGCTCCACAAGTGACACACCTAAAGGGTAGACTTGAGAAGCAACTGAACCCCACTAAAGTGAGCCCTCAAACAACAACTTCCTGCTGCAGCCATGGCCAGTCTTCAAAGCTGTTCAGCCGGAGGGTCAATCCTACACTCAGACATGATAACAGCAATCAAGGTCAACTACAACGGGAAGGCAAACACAACTCACACAAGGGACACCCCTGGAGCACCTCGCTCAGGTGAATAGGGAAACAGTGCCACTGGGCCCCATAGGACACCTACTATATAAGGCCACTATGCCAAAACTGGGAGATGTAGCAGAGCTACTGAGAAACAAACATGGGAGGCAGACAAAGGAAATAAAGAAATATGTCCCTTATGAAAGAAGAGGACAAAACTGAAGGAAAAGAACTAAACAATATGGAGGCAAGCAATTTACCAGATGTAGAGTTGAAAATACCGGTTATAAGAATGCTCAAAGAACTTAGTGAGGACCTCAACAGCATTAAAGAGATCCAGTGAGAAACAAAGATTACACTAATTGAAATAAAGAACAATCTACAGGAAAACAACAGTAGAGTGCATGGAGCCGAGAATCAAATCAATGATTTGGAACATAAGGAAGCAAAACCAACCAATCAGAACAAGAGGAAAACAGAACCCCAAAATGCAAAGTTATTGTAAGCAGCATCTATGACAACTTCAAGAGGTCCAACATTCACATCATAGGGGTGCCAGCAGGAGAAGCAAAAGAGAAAGAAATTGGAAATCTATTTGAAAAAAATAATAAAAGAAAACTTCCCTAATTTGATGAAGGAAGTAGACATACAAATCCAGGAAGCACAGAGAATCCCAAACAAGATGGACACAAAGAGGCCCATTCCAAGATGTATCCTAATTAAAATACCAAAGATTAAAGATAAAGAGAGATCTTAAAAGCAAGAGAAAAGCAGGTAATTACCTACAAGGGAGTTCCCATTAGAGTGTCTGTCTTATTTCTCAAAAGAAACTTTGCAGGCCAGAAGGGACTGGTAAGAAGTATTCAAAATGATGAAGAGCAAGGACCTACAACCTAGATTACTCTGTCCAGCAAAGCTATCATTTAGAATGGAAGGGCAGATAAAGTGCTTCCCAGAAAGGTAAAGCTAAAGGAGTAGGCCATCACCAAGCTCTTATTATATGAAATGTTAAAGGGACTTATTTAAGAAAAAGGAGATCAAAATTATGAACATTAAAATGGCAATAAATTCACAACTTAAACAACTGAATCTAAAAAACAAACTAAGCAAACAAGTAGAACAGTGGCAGAGACTTTTTTTTTTTTAATTTTATTTGTTTATTTTTAGAGAGAGGGGCCTGGAGGGGGAGAGAGGGAGAGAAACATCAGAGCATAGTTGCCTCTTCCATGCCCCTCACTGGGGACCCAGCCTGCAACACAAGCATGTGTCCTGACAAGGAATCGAACCAGTAACCCTTTGGTTCTCAGGCCAGCACTCAACCCACTGAGCCACACCAGCCAAGGCAAGGCAGTGACTTCTTAAGAAAAAAATTAAAAAATATAAATAAGAAAATATCACAATGAAAAAATTCACATTGAACATATAATTTTAAAAAGGTGAACACATAATTAAAGCAGTGGGTCGGCCAACACCACAACTAGTCCAGAGGTTGAGAGGAAGGGAAAGCTGGGAAGATCATGTGTAATTACAACAGTAAATTAAGGGAGAATCACAAACACATGTACGAAAGTAAAAAATAATGAGAAAAAAAACATAAACATGGAGGGGGTGTGTAAAAATGGGAGTAATTTTAGAATGTGTAGGAACCTAAGCAACCATTAACTTGAAATAGACTGCTATAAACATAGCTTGGTATATGCGAACCCCATGAGAACCACAAACCAAAAATCTTTAAGAGATACACAAGAAATAAAGAAAAGGCGTCCAAACACAAAATTATAAAAAGTCATCAACATACAAAAGAAGAGAGCAAGAGAGTAAGAAAGGAACAGAGAACTACAAAAACAACTAGAAAACAATAAAATGGCAATAACTGCATACTTATTAATAATTATTTTAAATGTAAATAGATTGAATGCTCCAACAAAAGATGAATGGATAGAAGCTGTGGTACATAGGTAAAATGAGGTATTACTCAACCATAAAACAGAATGAAGCCTTTCTTACTATTTACAGCAACATGGATGGACCTAGACAGTATGGTGCTAAATGAAGTAAGTCAGGCAGAGAAAGGCAAATACCATATGATTGCACTCATATGTGGAATCTGAAAAATAAAATAGGCCCTGTCCAGGTAGCTCAGTTGGCTAGAGCATTGCCCTGATATGCCAGGGTTGCACATTCAATCACCAGCCAGGGCACATACAAGAAGGAACCACTGAATGCCTAAATAAAGTGGAACAACAAATCAATGTTTCTTTCTTTCACTCTCTCAAAATCAATCAATGGAAATTTAAAAAGACAAAATAAAACAGAAATAAACTCATAGATACGGAGAACAAACTGATGTTTGCCTGATGGAAGGGGGTTGGGAGCTGTGAAAAACCTGAAGGGATTAAGAAGTATAAATTGGTACTTACAAAATAGTCACAGGGATATGAAATATAGTTTAGGGAATATTGTCAATAGTATTGTAATAACTACATATGATGTCCAGGTTACTAGACTTAGTTGGGTAACTACTTTTTAAGTTATATAAGCCTAGCCACTATACTGTACACCTGAAACTAATATATTGGATGTCAAAAGAAAACAAGTTAGATGTGGAAATACTGAGGGGAACATAGAAAGGTAAGAGTGGGGAGTTATATGCACACATTCCAAATTGACTATTTTGGCTTGGAGATACAGCAGTTATTTCTGGCATTATAGTCAAGTAATCTGGAAGTAATTTCAGCTAATCTGCTTGTCTGGTTATTAAATGAGAACAGAATTATTTCAACGTAGTATAATTGCTTACATGTTTATTTATCTAGCTTATATTTATGGGGTACCTACCATGAGCTAGGCAGTATTCTAGGTATTAAGGATCCAAAACAGACCAAGCCAGATAAGTTCTTTTCCTTGATCAAACATACATTCTTGTTGGGAAGGTAGACATCAAACATATATGTCAGTAATGTTAAAAGTTTGAATGAAAAATAAACCATAGTAAGGACTAGAGAATAAACTGGTTCAGGCAGGGAAAGCCACTATGAGGCAATGACATTTGAGCAGAGCCTTGAAAGTAGCAAGGGACTGAGGTATGTGACTATTTGGGGGAAGACTCTGAGACAAAACAGTCTTGATACAGACCCTGAGACTAGAGAAAGTGAAAAAAAAAAGATGACAGTGGAAAAGTAATCACAGACAATAAATATCATTTAAGCTGTGGAAAAGACTTTGAATTTTGATCTGTGTGATGGGAAACTTGTAGGGTTTTGGGTAAGAAATTATATAATCTGATTTTTTGGTCAATCATTGCATTTGAAATATAACACATACAGAGAAATGCACAGAATATAGATACTCAGTTAAAAAATAATGTAAAGTGAATACCGATGGAAACAAGAACCAAGTTAAAATTGCCCCTTCCTGATTAAACTCCTTGCCTCTTTTTAGATGTGTTCACAATCCTAATTTTAAGGTAATAATTTTCTTGACTTTTTAAATAGTTTTAGCATCTAAATATGTACTCTAATATAAGCTTTTCGTTTGGGGCTATTTTTAAACTTTGTGTATAAATATCACTCAGTATGTTTTCTTTTGTGTCTAGCTTCTTATACTCAAAATTGTTTTTAAAGTCCAGTTGTCTAATGAACTGTGATCCATTTATTTTCCTCACACTGCACTATTGTGTTGTATGGCTATAGCACAGTTTATTCTGTGTTTGGACATTTGTGGTGTTGACAATTATAAATAATGAACATCCTTTTTATCTTAAAGCACATAAGCCTATGTTTCTGGAAGAGGTAAACCATAGGAACACAATTCTGTGTCAGTCTGTGTGTTTTCTTTTATTTGTACTGGTTGTGCTAACTTACACTCACAGAACAGTACATTATACTTCCCTTTGGCCCACATCCTTGACAACATTGGAATTGTCAGATTTTTAAAATTTAAACCAATCTAGTATGTGTGATTTATTTTTTTAAAGATAATCACTCTGGCTTTTCTGTGCAGAGAATATGCTGTAAAGGAGCAAGAGAGGAATTAGGAAAAATACTAAATATCACTAATCATCAGGGAATGCAAGTCAAAACCACAGTGAGATATGATCTTTTTTTTAAGATTTTATTTATTTTTAGAGAGGGGAGGGAGGGAGAGAGAGACACACACACATCAATGTGCGGTTGCTGGGGGTCATGGCCTGCAACCCAGGCATATACCCTGACTGGGAATCGAATCTGCGACACTTTGGTTCGCAGCCCGCGCTCAGTCCACTGAGTGAGATGTGATCTTATATCCACTGAGGTAACTAATCTAAAAAGTAGATAATAACAAGTATTGTTGAGGATGTGAAGAAGTTGAAACCCTCATACATTGGTGGTTGGGATGTAAAATGGTTGTCCATTTTGAAAAACAGTTCCTCAGAATATTAAATACAGAGTTACAAGACCTAGCAATTCCATTACTAGATACCAACCCAAGACAAATGAAAACCGACATCTGTGCCAAAACTTGCATACAGATGTTCATAGCAATGCTGTTCATAATAGCTAAAAGGTAGAAAAACCCAAATGTCCATCAACTAATGAATGTATGAATAAACTGTGATATATCCATATAATGGAATATTAGCAATAAAAAGGAATTAATGAGCTCTGGCTGGTGTAGCTCAGTGGACTGAGTGCGGGCTGTGAACCAAAGTGTCGCAGGTTTGATTCCCAGTCTCAGGGCACATGCCTGGGTTGCAGGCCATGACCCCCAGCAACCGCACATTGATATTTCTCTCTCTCTCTCCCTCTTTCTCCCTCCCTTCCCTCTCTAAAAAATAAATAAATAATTTTTTTAAAAAAAGGAATTAATGACTGATACAGAAATTACATAGTACAATGTGGATGAATCTTGGAAACACTATGATGAATGAAAGAACCCAGTCTTAAATGACCATATATTAAATGATCCCATTTATAGAAATGTCCAGAATAGGCAAATGCATAGGGACAGAAAGTAGATTAGTGCTTTCCTAGAATTAGGAGAAGAGGAATGAGGAGTTCAGGTTTTCTTTTCGGGGTGATTTTTAAAATGTCTAGAGTTAGATTGCAGAAATAATTGTGTAACTCTTTGAATACATGAATTCTACACTTTACATGATGAGTTGTATAGTACGTGAACTATGCAAGTTAAGAAAATGGAATGGCAAACAATGGTGTTTTGATTGCTGAACTAAACATGGCTACTTCTAAAGCCAATTAATGTTCAATTAATAAATTCTGTGAAATGGTTACAAAGTTAAATCTAAAATAGTGAAAACAGGGAGACCAGTTAAGAAACTACTGGACTTTCCAGTAAGAGATAACGGTGCTTGGATTAGGAAGGTAGTGGTGGAAATTGTGAGAAGTCTCAGTTGGGGGTGTATTTAAAAGATGAAGCATAACAGGATTTTCACATGGATTGGATGTCGTGTGTAAGAAAGACAAATCAAGCATGTGTACCTAAATTAAGTGATGAGCAGACTCTCTCTCGCTCTTTTTTTTTTTTTGGTAGGAATTTCCTCATTCTTAAAACACTCAAGTGTGACAAAATCCCTATTTCTTATTCTTCAAAGAATCCTTTCCCTTCCTTTTATTTATTGTCACCACTACTAAAGGGAAAGTATGTAGAGAATGAATGACCTGTTCACTCTTTATTTAATTAAAAAAAATATTTAGGGAACAAGGCATACACCTTCTAGGTTGGTTTGTTTTTCTAAATTGATACTATTAAAGGATATCCTGAAAAAGGTTTTTATATTCGGGGTATGGGATAAAGTTATTAAAAGACAGCAATGGATGAAACTTTTAAAAATTTTGTTTAATGCGCACTTTACCATTTTCCTTTGTAGTTCGTTCTATCGGCTCTATTGCACTAAGAAAAGCAGAGGACATTGACTTCAGGTACCACTTTGACTTCTTCAGTGTGAATTTCAATGAAGAACTGGTGGCACTGTATGGTGGGAGTCTTCAGAAGCAGACCAAGTTTGTACATGAGTGTATTAAAGCAATTCTCAAACTCTATAAGGTAAGAGATAAGCTTGCAAATCAATAGTGATTAACCTCCTAGCATCTTTGGAACTCAGCATATTTTAAATCTTTTGTTTATATGGAAGTTGAAGGAAAGATAGCTCAAAGGTGTGGGGTTTTTTGTGTTGGTTTTTTTTTTGTGGCAGTCTGTTTTGAACTTGGTGGTGGTTTTTGAAGCATAATTGAATTATAAGAAACCTTCCTTGCAGTGAATTCAGAGGCAAAGATTCTTCTAACTATTATAAATTAGGAGTACAGTGTATTTCCTAAAAACCATTAGTATGAATTTCTGTTTCTAGTTATAGCTGTGTAACTGGTACTATTAGAATAGACCACTTCCTTATGTAAATAACTATGAAACTAGTCAAGATATCTGAAGTGCATGTGTTTAACTATTAGATAACCAAGCGGCAAAGGACTGTTTTCTGAAAGAAAGATAACATGTGAAGTGAGCTCCATAATTGCTCTGGCTTTCTGCCTGGAAGCATTTTCTAGGCCATGGGTCAGGTAAGTGGAAATGAAGCAGAGCACATGGATACCACTGAGCCAAAGAAGGCAGAGAGTGGAATTTGGGGCTCCTGGAATTGGCTAGATTTCTGATTGGAGTGTGCGAAAGAAGAAACCTAGGCAGAGCTAGGAGCTCTAGAAATCTGCATTTTTCAGCCTTTGAATGCTATGCTGTATGTGCACAGGTCAAGGAGTACAAGGCAAGGGTGTACCGAGGAGGAAGTGATGGGGTGTGCCTACCTGGGTACAACTTTAAAAGAGCAGTAAAACAGACTAAAAAGCATTCTTTGTCAGCAGTTCTAAACAGTGTCAGAGATAAAATATTACTACATGTTTGGGTGAGCCACTTCCTCCCCTGGTACACCACAATGCAGGCTGGCAGAAGACAGTTGCTAGGGAATTATGAGATGAATGGAGATTTCAGAGGCCACACGGTGCTGGGAAATAGGAGTTCTGACCAGCTGAAGTGGAAAGATGTATTTGAACACATTGGGCATTCAAGTGAAACCCCAGAAAGGACATGATTTAGGACTACTCCAGTCCTATAGTAACAGCTACTCCAGCATCTACCTTAGCAATGCTTAAATACAAGTGTCAAAAAATATCAAAGTTAAAGATTTAAAGTAAACAATACACATAATAAGGGAAGAGATGGGGCATCTCAGCATAGATGTAGTAACTATTTTTAAAAACAGCAAAAAGGAAAATCTAGAACTAAGGCAAGATAAGGTGGGGCAAAAGAAGGCTTACAGTTTGTATGGAAAATAATGTGATAATTAATAAATAATAATACAAGAATAAATTGTTTTATGTACTCACAATTATAAACCTACGTTTACCCCACCCTGTACATATCAGAAATAAAAAATTCAGGAGATAGGTTTTAAGCAGATTGAACATTACAAAACAGAGATCATTGAATTTAAAGAAAGGATAATAAAAACTAGACAAAATGAACTAAAGGAAAAAATTAGGTAAATCCTCAGAGTTATAGATTTTGACAATCCTCTCAATAATTGACAAAATAAAAAGTCAGAAAGTCAGTAAAGCATGGACGATGAGAACAGTATTCACCAGCTTACCCTATTGACATTTATACAACACTGCATCTAAAAAGTGGAAGAACTGTGTTCTCTCTAAATGCACATGGAATTAAAATATGCCATATACTAGGCCATACAACAAGTCTCAATAAATTTCAAAGGATTGAAATTTTACAGGGTGTATTTTTTTATCATACTAGGATTCAATTAGAAACCAGTAATAACAACAAAAATATCTGGAAAATCTTCAAATATTTGGAAATTACTTCTAGATTACCCAGAGGTCAAAAAGAAGATTACAGTTGAAATTTGAAAGTGTTTTGAATGGAATTAAAGTGAAAATACCACACCAAAATTTGTAAGATTAAAATAGTGGTTAGAAAAAATAAATAGTCTTAAGTGTTTATTTTAGATAGGAACAAGGTTTAAAAGCAATGATCTAACCTTCCAACTTGGAAAGCTAGAGAAAGAAGAATAAAGCACACTCTAAGTAGAGATGTAAGGAAACAATACAGATGAGAATGGGAATCAACGAAAGAGAAAACAGACAAACCAAAGAAAAAAACAGATAACAATGGCAGGGTTTTTATTTTTTTAAAGATCTATAAAGTTGGTAAACTAATAGCTAGACTAATTAAAACAAAAGAAGAGGAACACAAATTGATATCAGGCATGAAATAGGGAATATCACTAGAGAGCTTACAGATGGTAAGAAGATATTAAAGGAATGTTATGAACAACTTTATACCAATAAATCTGACAACTCAGATTAATGCACAAACCTCTTGAAACAAATTACAAAAGAGACACAAGAGGAAACACAATCTGACCAGCCCTATATCTATTAAATTTTTTAATTTGTAATTAAAAATTTTACTGCCAAGAAAAATCTAGGGCCAGATGACTACAGTGCTAAATTTTATCAAACATTTAAGAAAGATGTAATATCCACCTTACACAAACTCTTTTCGAAAATTGAGGAAGAGATAACACTTAGCAGTTTATATTAAGAAATCAGTCTGGCCAAGAAGGAGGCATAGATAGAAACCCTTTGCTTCCTTGCACAATCAAAAGGACGAAAACAACCAATCTAAAATCAATAAGCAACCAGAAGTGCCAGAAAATGAAACTTCATGGGACTCTGACAACCAAGGAATTAAAGAAACAGTCAGCCAGACCAGCCAGACCGGTAAGACGGGCGGATGGAGAGAACCCGTGGCAAGGCTGCGGACTGTGCAGGAGAGACTAGCTGTGGCGAGGCAGCAGACTTTGCAGGCGGGACTGACTGAATGGGAAACTGAGACTCAGCTGACTGTGGCCTACAGCAGGGGGTTGCCCCAGTGGGAGAAACTCCCAGTCTCACACTAGATTGTTGGAAAGTGGGCTATAACTGCAGGCAAGCTGCATTGTTCCCTCTCTGGCCCCTCCCCCACAGACAGCGCCGCATTGCAGCAAGGAGAGTTGCCCTGCCCCAGTGAATACCTAAGGGCCCACCCCCTTGCAACTTAACAGGTGAACTGAGACAAAGAAACATGGCCCAAATGAAAGAACAGAGCAAAACTCCAGAGAGAGAGAGCTAAGTGATGAGGAGATAGCCAACCTATCTGATGGAGAGTTTAAAGCCCTGGTAATCAAAATGCTCATAGAACTGATTGAGCTTGGTCAAAAAATGAAGGAACAAATGAAAGATAACCAAAGTGAAATAAAGCAAAATATTCAGGGAACCAACAGTGATGGGAAGGAAACTAGGACTGAAATCAATGATTTGGAACAAAAGGAAGAAATAAAACATCCAACCAGAACAGAATGAAGAAACAAGAATTCAAAAAAATGAAGAGAGGTTTAGGAACCTCTGGGACAACTTTAAATATTCCAGTATCTGAATTATAGGGGTGCCAGAAGGAGAAGAACACCAGCAAGAAATTGAAAACTTACTTGAACAAATAATGAAGGAAAACTCCCCCAATCTGGCAAAGGAAATAGACTTCCAAGAAGTCCAGGAAGCCCAGAGAGTCCCAAAGAAGTTGAACCCAAAGAGGAACACACCAAGGCACATCAAAATTAAGTTACCCAAGATTAAAGACAAAGAGAGAATCCTAAGAGCAGCAAGAGAAAAGGAGAAAGTTACCTACAAAGGAGTTCCCATAAGACTATCAGCTGATTTCTCAAAAGAAACCTTACAGGCCAGAGGGGTTGGAAAGAGGTATTCTAAGTCATGAAAGGCAAGGACCTACATCCAAGATCGCTCTATCCAGCAAAGCTTTCATTTAGAATGGAAGGGCAGATAAAGTGCTTCTCAGATAAGATCAAGTTAAAGGAGTTCGTCAACACCAAGGCATCATTATATGAAATGTTAAAGGGACTTAACTAAGAAAAAAAAATCAAAAACTATGAACACTAAAATGACAACAAACTCACAACTATCGAGAAATGAACCTAAAAAAAAGAAAAACAATGAAAACAAAAATTAAGCAAGCAACTAGAACAGGAACAGAATCAGAGAAATGGACATCACATGGAGAGTTTTCAGTGGGGAGGGGGAAGGTACAGTGAAGGAGAAGCATAATTGGTAGGCATAAAATAGATGAGGAGAGGTCAAAAATGGTATAGGAAACAGAGAAGTCAAAGAACTTATATGTACAGCCCATGGACATGAACTAAGGGGGGATGCTAGAGGATTGGGGTTGCAGGGTGGAGGGGGGATAGAGAGGGAAAAGTTGGGAAAACTGTAATAGTGTAATCAATAAAATATACTTAAAAAATAAAATGAAATGTTCTTACTTTCCCACTCCCAAATCCTAGCCATTCAACAAGATTCATCTGTCTCCAACCCCTATTACACTTACTTGTAATAGAAATCTTACTTTCTAAAAACCTCAATTAAAAAAAATGTTTAGTTCTATTATAAATTTAATATGTAGTCAGAGAAAAAATGAAAATAGAAACAGAGAAGGAAAAGTGCCTAATATGTAAGATTAAACACACAATTATTTATTGCAAATTACATTTATGGAAATCTTACTTTATAATCACGTCTTATTTATCCAAATAATATCAGATATATAAAAGATTTTGTACTTAACATGGCTTGTTCCCTCCTATAATACCCAGTATAGATTTAAGTTAAAAAATACCTTCTGTGGAAGTAATTTTAAAATGCTGGCTTATGCAAAGTATCATCATGTCTACATTTCATTTTCAAGATGGAGAAGAATATCACACTAGTTAGATACGATAGCTTCATAGTTAAGTCTTGAAATCAGGTGGTGCGGGTCCTCAAACTTTGTTCTTCCTTTGCAAGATGGTTTGGCTTTTTAGGTTCTTTGCATTTCCACATAAGCTTGTCAGTTCTACAGAACACCTACTGGTGTTTTGTTTCATATTTCTTTAAATCTGTTGGTCAACTTGGGGAGAATTTACATCTTAATTGTGAGTCTTCTAGTCCGAG